TTAACTTTGAGTTTGTATCTATTGTGTGCTCTTGTGTTGTTATGGTTGAAGCTGAAGTATTCATTGACAGGTAGGACATTGCAATGTATGATTTTATATACCATGCTTAAATCAGACCGAAGACGGCGTAATTCAAGGTTTTCTAGTTCTAGAATTTCAAGTCTGGTGGCATAAGGTATTCTACAACGAGTAGAGGAGTGGAGAACTCTTCTTGTGAAATATTTCTGGACTTTCTCAATTGTGCTAATATCAGATACGTAATGTGGGTTCCAGACTGATGAACTGTATTCGAGTATTGGTCTAGCAAATGTTTTGTATGCTCTGGTTAGTAGTGTGATATTACCAGAGAAAAAGCTACGTAGGATTAGGTTAACAACTCTTAATGCCTTTTTGGCTATGTAGTTGCAGTGGGCTCTAGCACTTAGATCATTAGAGGTGAGTATTCCAAGGTCCTTTACAGAGCTTGGGTCATCAACAAGATCCATGGGAAAGTGTTTTCCATAGGAAAAAATGTAATACTTCCCATGTGGACATCCTATATTGTATGCAGGAATCATCTTTGAGAGGTCAACAACCTACTAGGTTCTAATTAACCTGTTGTAAGGCCATCCCTTTCCATTCAGTTTCTGTGATTCTTGTACCTTTTCCCCACTCTGACTGGTAAAATAGACAGTCTTTTTTTTGGGGGGGAGGATGAAATTGGGGGAGAGAGTTACCAACCTAACGAAAGACCACTATATTAGTATTTTTATAGTTAAATAGACACTTAGACACCCAGTTTGATCAATTATTCTATAAATGCTATCATTATTTCTCTATTCCTGTCTGTGTCACATATATTAAAAAGTGTTTCCCATTAACTTTAAAATGAATTAAAAAATGTTATTAGGGTATTATCTTCATAAAGTAAACATCATTACCAGATAATATGAAAGAGGACATCTGGACTGATTTTGCCCAAGGACTAGGCAAAAGGAGCTTAGATATGGAAAGTCACCAATGCTATTTGATGTCTCCATGTCTTATGATCAGAAAAGGACCAGTGGCTACAGGGAAATTGTACTGTATGGAGAATTAGAAAAGGCTGAATTCTGGTGAGCAGAGCTGGATGGTGTTTTTTTATGTTTGATTACTTAGAAAGAGATAAGATTAAGCTTTCCTCCTTGCAGATGTCATTTCTTCCATTTCCAGTCCTGCTCAGTATATTCATTTCCCTCTTGATGATAGCATGCCACAACTAAAAATACTTCAGCCACTGAACTTGAGATAGGAAGAGGGTTTATAGCAAGATCTATAATAAAGAAACAGTACACAGGCTTGTAGTATAAAGATAAATTCAAAGCTGAAATGCTGCATTTTCATCAAATAGCATGCCTTGTGTTGGGCTTCCTTTAAAATTCTGGAAATTGCATACTATCTATCAGGCTTCATTCACCCAGACCATTACTTGAATGTGAAGACAAACAAGAGGAGATTCAGGTACACAGTTCTTTGATAAACTAGTTTTATTACTGATACTATGAAAGCCTAATTAGAGCCGGAAATTGCCAACTATAAGACTCAAGCCATATCTGCTTGTCTATCTCCAGGTTCATATCTTAGATCGACTCTTATGTGCTTCAGCAGACTGAGAGCTGTTCATTTCTCTGTAGGAGGGCCAGTTGACAACTGTGCACTGTTATTGCAGCAGGCCTATCTCATCTCAGGCTCTTTTCATCTGACCTTATTCCTTCTCACACTCCATTGTCAGGTTAAGAAGGATTGCTTGAAAGAGGTTGGCAGCACTTTGAAGTAGAACGATGCCTTTGACAGTAGATAATTGAATGACATCTAGATTCAGAATGATTGGAGAAGTTCCATGCAGGTTTGTGAATGTTGGTGATTTAACACTACATGGATACATCAGAAAGCCCTATTTTCTATCCTTATTTAAGTTGCTAGAATCCAGAAACTTTGTGGGAAAGCAATGGTTCGATAGGTACAAAGACATTAATTTCAATTCTGAGACTAAAAAACTAATTCCTAATCTATAGATATCCTGACACTTTTTTGTGGTGGCTATAGAATATGTATTCTCTATCTTGGATCACTATTTTGTACTGAACTCCAGTTTATATACATTATGATATTTTATCTAATTAGTATTTTCCCTCTCCTCTAAAAACTCAACAAATAATGCACAACTTTGCTCTATTTCCCAATAACTTTTCAGATAGGTAGAATGAATATCAGATTAACCAATGAATCATATTCTTAGTGGAGTTTGAAGTTCGATTTTCTCACTTCATCTAGTATTTCTGTTACTATGCAGCTTGGCAATTGGGAAACATTGCTTGTAAAAAACAATAGGACAGACCTGCATCTCTGCCCTAAACTGGATTGAATGGCTTTTTCCTGGCTTGGTAGCAAAGAAGATGAACTGAGCTGAGAAAAATAAATCCGCCACATACCAGCAGCAGCAGCATCTTTCCACTTGGCATAGAAATGCAGTAGTCAAGAAACTTGACAAGGTTTTTTCATCAATTCTGAACTGAGAGGACAAAATCTTCCTAATCCTGAGCAGTTACACACCCTAGTTATTATTCTTTTGCAGCATAACATGCAATCAAGCACTAATTGTAATTTGAATGCATTCTTCTTCATTGTGAGAGTTTGCCTTAAATTTATCCTGATGTCTCTAATTTGATAAGGAAAACAGACAAAACTTGGAAATTCCTCTAAACAAAATACTTTAATTTTTTTAAATGCTGTATTTGTGCCAACTTGAAATACAAAATATGCTAGCCAGAATGGAAAGTAACTTTACAATATTTTATATTCCTCCATTCAGTCATGTCCGAATCTCAGAGACTGCTTGGACAAATCCTTGAGTTTTCCAGCAAGATTTTTCAGAAATGATTTATCTTCCCTTCTTCCTAGATCTGAGAGTCTGAGAGAAAGTGACTGGCCCAAGGTCATCAAGCTGGCTTTGTACCTAGGTCAGGGGTCTGTAACTTTAAACACTCAAAGAACCATTTGGACCTGTTTCCCACAGAAAAAAAAAACGACAGGGAGGCACAAAACCTGGGTGGGCGTAGCCAACTCAACATCACTCATTTCCACCCAGTCACATGAGTCCTGAGCCATGCCTACCCAATCGGTCATTAGGGCAGAGAACTGGGAACCACAAAACCCTTCTCTATCGTGCACGCGCGCTCCCTCGCTCCCTCCATCTCCCTCTCTATCTTCTCCCTTTCCCCCCTCTCTATCTATCTCTCCCCTCTTTTTCTGTCTCTCTCCCTCTCCCCCTCTGTGTCTCTCTCCCTCTCACTGTATTTCCTTCTCCTCTTTCTGGGTGTGTTTCTCTAGGTCTCTCTTTCCCCCCCTCTGTGTGTGTGTGTGTGTGTTGTGTCTCGCTCTGTATTTGTATCCCCCCCCCCCCCCCCTCTCTCAAGCTCTCCTCAGGGCTCTTGGCTACTCCTTTTCTTCTTTTTGGAAATCCGGACTGGCTGAGGAAGGAGCACAAGCCACAGGGGAGGCTTCCCTCCTCCTTCCTCCTCTTCTTGTGACCTTCTGGCCAGCTGTGGCGAGGCCGAGAGAGTGTGCACAAACTGGGAGACCTTCCAGACAGTCATAGACACACATACACACACACACACACACACAGAGATACAGAGAGGGGGAACTGGCTAATGGCAAGCATCTTTGGTGAGGGCACTCTGGCTTTCTCCAACCCTGACCCCCAGGGTGGGTGTGCGAGGTTCGGCAGGGCCAGCCCCTTTTTCCTGCTGCCCTAAGCTTCTTAAAGCCATGGCTGGGTGCTGCGGGCCTGCTGTGGGCCCATTCCCCTTTCCGTCATCCCTTCCTGGATCCCATTCCCACCCTGCCAGCCCTCATGTTAGCGAGGCCACCGTCGGTCATGACCAGGTTGGGCCAATGTCTCGGTTGGGAGAGCAGGTTCCCAAGCGACCAAGGCACGCCCATCACCAACAAGGGTTGGAAGAAACTGCAGCAAGTGTGAGGTGCTAGAGAATCAGCATTGGCTGCTTCTCCATCCCCCGCCATTGCCCTTATCTTCTCAGGCCAGGCCAGGCGTGGGAAGGGAGGGCGAGGGGTGGGGCCAGCCAGTGATAGGATGGAGCCACAGCAGAGTGCCCAAAGAGCTGCATGCAGCTCTGGAGCTGCGAGTTGCCAACACCCGACCTAGGTAGTATTTGAACTCACAAATACAAAACTGGGTTTTGTCAAAATATTAACCAGCTGAAAACTATTGTCACTCCTGTTTTGTTCTTATAGATGTATAATGACTTTCTGGGGTGGGAATTAAAATCATAATTGGAAACTATAATATTTAATGTTGGAGAGCATTCGTTAACTTTTAACTCATTGCTACGAGGCCAGGATTCAGCATTAATAGCAAATGCCATTTAATAATGCCTTATAAAAAGGAGAAAGTATGAATATACTCTTTCATTAAAAAGTGACATTATTACTTGCTGTTAAATGACTGTCATAGTGGATTATTATTACTTGCTGTTAGATGACAGTCTACTGTGACAATTTTAATTTTAAGTTAATATTCAATTCACAAATAAACTCACTAGTGCATTATTTTTCATCTGAAATGGATATTCTGACATCTTTGACTATTTTCCAAAATACCTACAGTAATGTGTTTGTGTGTGTATGGGTAAATGTGTATGCATGTATGCATACATATACATGTATTTGTGTGTGTTCGAATAGAGAGAAAGAGACCATTATACTAACAGAAGAGATGTATATCATTGTAAGCCTCAGAGAACTCAAAGATCAACATATAAATACATACAGGACAGGACTGGAAAAGGAAGTAGTGAGAGCTGTTTAATTTCATTCCTATACAGATGATAAGCACAAAGGAAGTTTCAAATGTTTAATTTCATTCCTATACAGATGATAAGCACAAAGGAAGTGTCACATTCAAGTGATATGAAAAGAAGCTTAAAAATCATTAATGATTATGTTATTCTTAATGGTAGGTGTTGGAGCTGCTCGTGCAGGAAATCTTACCTTCATGGTCGGGGGAGTAGAGCAGGAATTTGATGCTGCAAAAGAGCTGCTCACATGTATGGGTTCCAATGTGGTCTATTGTGGAGAAGTTGGAACTGGACAGGTAAATGCAGATCATTCCTAGGCATGTTATAAGCTTTAGTGTACTCCCCATTCACATTGAATTAATGTGCTTCATAAGCCAGATACCTTCCAAACTTATTGAAATTTATTTTCATAGTGAAATTCTTCATTAAACTGGTAATTAATTGACATTTGTTCTATCCTCTCTCCACTTCCAGTAAGATATACTACTGTAGCCCTGTTTAAAATGCCACCCTATCTGAAGCATAGGTAAGAAAACTGAAACTTTTCTTGTGAGTTTGTAGGACTCACGTGCAAATTTCATATGCAAAATGCAGTTTTGCATTTTCTTGCAGACATTTTTGTCTTTTTCAGTGTGCTGCGGGCAAGTATCACATTGTTTTTCTTTCAGTTGTATTTGTGATTTAGTTATTTAGAAGGTAGGTATGTAGATGTGGTATTCTAGAAGTTTGATTGCAACTACTTAAATTAACCACTCAAACCCATCAAATTGTTTGTGTTAAAATTAGAGTGCAGCAACCTCTGGAGGGCTACGTGTCACTCATCTGTATTCTGAATGTTAACTTATCTTAAAAATTATTTTGCTTAGATTTACTGAAAAGCACACTATTTCTAAATGAATAAAAAACAGGAAAATCCTAAAGTACTTCGTAAATCAAGTGTATGCAAAGTGATTTGTCATAAGAAAAAGGCTCCATCTTCTTCAGCAACCTGAAATAATGTAAAATGAAAAATAAACCAAGTTACCAGAACAAAAATGTGGAACATTACATCTAAAATGCACACTTTCTGCCTTTCTTAGTCCCTTTTATTATATACAACTGAACTCATTTCATCAAATTTCATAATATTTTCAACTCCTTGGGTTTTCAATAGGTAGGAAATTTGTACCCCAAGGCCATATGCAGCACCAAATTTTGTGTGTGTGTGTGTGTGTATTTCCCCCTAGAATATTATCCAACTACATTGTCTAAAACCTGGTAGAAAATAAGTTCTTGTGTATGTATCTGCTTTGTGTTATCATACTGCTGCTCTGATAGCTTTGTCCCCAAAAACATTTAAAACATAGTTGTAATAACCAAAGGGTATCCACCCCAACTTAGTTTATGAATACTATTTTGTTATGACTTGCTAACTACTTTTTTTAGGCTGGTTTATAAATGGTGGCATCATTGAGATGGGGACGATTACAATGTTTTTGTATTCTTTGTTTAAAATTGCACCAATTGCAAATCATTTTGAATGCAGAACAGCTGTTTTTACTAGAAACTGGTACAACTGAATATTTAATTATTTGTATACTTCTGTTTGATTATGAAACTAAACTCTAAAAACAAATGCAAGAATTAAGGATTCCAGCACTGCAGATTAGAAGAAAAATTGATTGCTTAATAGAACAGGATGAGACACGACACGACACAAATGCCTCACCTGCCCAAATAATACAAGTATGTATTCTACATATGTAGAAGGTTCTAAATTAAGATGTTTAGTAGTGATAACCCATGGAAATCTCTTGCACTGGGCAGCCCTTACAAAAAGATAATAGTTGTGGTTTCAAGAGCTTTCAATATTATTGGTTAATTTAAGTGACATAGAATTTTTAAAAACTACTTTGTTTTGAAAACGAGACCACATAACTTCCCCAAATCCATGAAAAGTGGCAATTGAGTGCAGGTGAGCATTTATGTGACCCCAAAAAGATTGTCAATCTGTGCTCTATAAGAGTGGTTATGGAACAAAAACTTCTATGTATTATTAAAAATCTTGCTGTTATTAGCATTAACTGGGAAAAATAGTCCTTCATATAGAAATAATTAGTGTACCGAAGTGCCTCAGATGGGATGACATAGATAGTTCATCCAAAATCTGTGATCCATGAGTCCTGAACAAATGAAATTTGGAAAAGTTGTGGCTGCTTCAGGCTGTTGCTACACTTGTGGGCTGGTGGTAAAATTACCTTACTAAAATAATCTTCAGTTTGGTAAAATTATCTTCATTCTGAATGTGATGGTTTCCTAGCCACTCTTGCTATCCCTTATTTCCTCCCCCATCCAACAGCAACAAATTGATGCATCATGTGTCTTGTAAAAGAAGCAACAACCTTAAGGTGCCTATAGAATATCTTGTATATTTTTATTGTCCCCTTCACAGGCACACAAACATGTACATGTATTTATATCATATCTTTGTTCAGGAATTCAAGGCACAAATACAATGCTCCAACCTCTTACATTTCTTCATAACCCTGGGAGTAGGTTGGGCAGAAAGTCACTAAGTGAGGTGCTGTGATATAGTAGAAACCGAATCTTTCTCTCATATCAGACAAATATAGTAGTCACTATAATCTTTGCTCATTCTGTTTCATTTTCCAACCATTTCCTACTCTGAAATTAAATCTAAACCGACCTTTCTTTCAGGTGCTAGAGATCAGTTAGACTGGTCCTATCCCGGCCCTCAGGAGGTCATGTGATCCTATTTTTAACAGCTTCTTATAACTCAGTAGAAAATCTGGCAGGGAGTCTAAACTGTTCTGGTGAGAACAACAACATACAACATTGTGGCAGAAATATTAAATTAAAATGAAATATCAGCATAATTATGTCATGGGGAAAAAAAGGGGGACGTCATGGTCAAAAGATGACATCAAAGTTATCTTCAAGGATGTGGCAAGGAAAACGAGAAATGAAGTATGAGCATGCTGTACATCTCTAAAATCACAAGGAAGAATGAAGACACAAGAAAAGTTGGAGGATGAACGGAAAGTTCAGCTCAAGAATATGTGGCGAACACTAATTTGCAAAAATTCTTCAATGCTACAATATCCACAATGAGCACAGCAAAATACATGACATGCATTATGTAATATTTCTGCTGATGTTGGTGCCATGGCCAAAATCTTTCCTCACTTTCATGCTTTCCTGGTCCCTGGACAAAAATGCCAATTTTTGTGTATTAAGGGAAAGGACAGACAATTTGTAACTTACCTAATGAACTCCTCAAATTACCTGTTGCAAACTAGTTCAAGAAAAATATCAGACAATACAAATACAACTATATCTTCCAAGTGACATCCTTTGGTGCCAAGAACCCTTCTAGCAAGGAATTAATAGAATCCTTCTGTGACTATGCAATGGGAAATCCTTCTTTATATTGAACATTTAATGCCAGACCTCAATCAACAACCCAAATTTATTCAAATTACTTCATGGATTCTTAAGACAGTGTAGAATTGAGAATGAGTATAGTCTATAATGATGGAATTCAACATGAAAATTTTAAATTATAGGAAGAGGAGGGCAGGTGAAGAGAAGGGGAGGGAATGGGAAGGAAGGTAGCATTCCAATGGTCCCTGGCAGCTTCCCAGTGGAGATGTCAGTAGGATATTGGAAGTCTTCTTCCATAATTTTTTTCCCACCCTTGGAGCTTCTGTTTCTCTGTCTGGGTAAGAAAATATTCCTAAAATGATGATGCATCAGAGCATAGGTTAACTAGTTTCTAATAAAATTAGGTTCCTGATGGATCATTTTTGTAAAGTAGAGAAATTTATGAGTTATTGCATTTATTTTCAGGCTGCAAAAATCTGCAATAATATGCTGTTAGCCATCAGCATGATTGGAACTGCTGAGACCATGAATCTTGGAATCAGGTGTGTTGAATTTTACATTTGCTTTATTTTGATTACATTTAAGTGACTGGCCCTTTTATAATGGTACAATAATGTTTCAAAAATTTAGAGTAGCAAACATAGCACAAGTTCAGTATTTAATGTTTTTTAAAACCATTGTTAACTTAGAAATTTTAATGAACAGGGACATTCTTTGCAGGGCTACAAAATAGAAGTGTATTTTGATAGAATATCGTACTTTTTTGAATATGCTCCGAAGTATAAGACGCACCTAGCTTTTGGGGAGGAAAACAAGGAAAAAAAAAACTGCCTCTGCCTCCCAGCAATTTGCCTCCTTTAGCAAACAGCCTGGTCAGCTTCAGCACAGCCTGATTTAGCACAAGCAACTGATTGTCGATTGGATCGGCCTCCCGACGATCAGCTGTTTCAGGCTGCAGGGATTGCCATTGCCTATTGCCCCCTCTGTGTGCCCCTTTTCAGCCTTCGCATGCCCCGTTTTCAGCCCATTCCAGATGGTGGGGATCGGAACGGGCCGAAAATGGGGCACATGAAAGCCAAAAATGGGATTTGGAAACAAAAAATGGGGTATGCGGAGGCGGCAGTAGGTGATGGCAATCCTTGCAGCCTGAAACAGCTGATTGTTGGGAGGCAGATCCAACAATCAGCTGCTTGTACCAAATCGGGCTGTGCTGAAGCTGACCAAGCTATTTGCTGCAAGAAGGCAAATTGCTGGGAGGCAGAGGCTGAAGGGTGGGGACTGAAGGGTGGGCTGGGCTTCAAGAGCATTCGCTGTATAAGATGCAGAGACATTTCCACCCACTTTTTTTTGGGGGGGGGGGTGTCTTATACACCAAAAAATATGGTTATGTGTAGTAACTCCTTTTTCTTATTATCAAATGAAACATGTAGCTCTGTATAGGTCCCATACTGTTTATTCATGTATTATAATCCATCAGGAACCAATCTTTTGAATGCAAGATCAGGGTTTAGCAGGTACCCAGTTGAGCCAAAAAACATAGCTCACAGGCCATATAGAGTCTGAACCATAGACTTAACAGACTGTACCAAAAGAAACGTGCTATAATAAGTTCTTACTCTTAAAAGCAACTTTTGGGTGTTTAATTGAAAAGTTATATTGTTGTTAAAAGGCTGGTTATATTTGAAAAAATAATTAATTTTTCTTCATATAAATTTGTATATAGACACATAATATACATTTCAGTTTGAAATTTGTTGTTGGACATTTTGGCCCTAGTTTTTGTGTCTCTGGATTTTCACAGCATGATTTTAGTACACTTAAGTGCATCCTTTCAGCCACTTGCTAGAGACTAACACATTACCACCACTGTGAAGTCTGATACTAAAGAATAAATATCTGGTTTGGCTTTATTTGTTTGTTTGTTTATTTATTTAAAAAGATACATGAATGTGATAAACACATGGAAACAGACATGCACCCAAAAGACAGGATAATGGATTCACATTTCTTTTTAATTACCATATCAAGATGCAGTTGTTTTATTGAATTGCCCTTGTCTCAGATGTTAGACTATCTTGACCTATTAAGTTGTCATGTTGTAATTGAGATAAAAGAGGAATTTGCTTTGCATCAGTGCTAATTGGTTTATCAATATCCTGTACCATTTACATTTTAAAATTGAGCATCTGTAAGATAGGAAAACGTATCTTTAACAAGCCATAACAAAACCCATAGATGGTTTACTGCTGCTGTAATTGAGAATTGCAAAGCTGTATCATAGTTTTAAGTCATAGTTTGCTTAATAAAAAAAATCAATCACCTATGACTTCAATGTATTTAACTGAAGTAGAAACTCATATTGTCAGCTATAAAAGAAAATGTTCAGCTAGCACAGAATACTAAAAGATCTGACAGCCTCATATGCAATCTTAATTGATGTTTGCAGCTACTGCAACATGCAGGATCTTTCTTGCTTTTAATTTTCTAACGAGGTGTATTTTCCCTCTCCATTATCTAAATTAATGCTTTGAATTCAACAGTCTATTAAAATTCTGAATGAATTAAATGATTAATTATTCATCCCAGTGTTAGGTGACACACATGCTATAGAACCTATCTATATCACTAGGAATCTTTTCTGAAATCTAAATTCTGCTTTCCTCAGTTATTTTCACATTGGAATTCACTTGTGTTGAAATTGTTGCAATGCCAGTGATTGTAATTTTTCTAATGTATTTCTTTTTATTACATAAAAACTTAACATCTCTAATCTATATTTTCCAGTCTACAAAACTAATCTATGTTTTCCAGTCTGCAAAACTGAGTAATAGTTCTTCCCATTTATGTGCATTTTCCATGCAGTCATTGTTTTTCATTGTAAAATGCCAAATACCTCTTTGATGGTAGTGTCAGCTGAGGAGAAGCATGGATGAATTAAAGTGCAGAATTCAATAGTAGGCCTTAATGAGGAGAAAGAATGCTGTTATACAAATGATCCATGTTAGAAAAACTACTTTGATTCTGCACTTTACTCTAATTCTAAGAAAGCACTCTATGTGATAATGTTCTTTGCTAGAAAAATAAGTGAAAAATAGTTTAATGTGCATTTATGCCCATGAATACCAGTAAGTTGAGCACTCACCTACTTTCTTCAAGTAGTTCAAAGCCCACTGAGAAATGAAGCCTTCTGCTATCAATTTATTTTCAGTCTGACAACTATGTTTCTGAAGTGACAGAATTCTCCTCTAATAAAATTCATGTAGCAGTTACAATTTATAGAGCTTTCACAAGATTGAAAAAAGAAAATTGTATTTGCAAGTATGAATTTCTCTGTAGTAAATTCTTTCTGGAATGAATAAATTATCATGATATGACTATATTCATGTTCAGTCCTGTTTATGTCAGTAGACTGTTTAATTAAATTAGACTTTTTTAGAATCATTTTTGTTTCTTCATCTTTAATGTGTGCTTTTTTAATTTTAATATTTGAAGAGTGTAATGTATTATTTTTGTCACTTACAAGCATAACATAGCATATATACCTTTTGTGGATATTTAGGCTCATATTTAAAACACAGTTTTAATGCATTGTGTTTTTAAAAGAAGGGAGTGATATAGTTGTCAGCATAAGATTTGCTGATGTATATAATAAATTATGGCAGCTAGTACATACTTTTAGCCTGTGAAAGTTGAAAGTTGTTGCATGAACCCATGACATGGTGAAATTTCTGTCCAATGGCAGATCCTTACAGGTCTTATATGGGAATAAGAATAGGAAGTGCTGGAAATGGAGCTAGGAGAGTATTCCTTTGAAAACTGAAGGTTATATCCTGCAACGCTTGTTCACTACAGAACAACGTCTATTAAAAGAACAGGAGTCTTATGAATATGTCCATCATGCAACTTACAGCTTGGGACATCTCTCAGCGCAGTTTTAGGATGCTCTGATAGACAGAATGAAGGAAAGCAGAAGTTTGTTTATGGAGAATTTGATGTATCTCCATAGAACTCTTATGTATTTATTTTTAAATTGTTTTTTAATTTTAAAAATTAAGTTGTAAATATACACATCTTAAGATTTAATTATGTAAATACATAATTTTGCTCATCTTTATTATCCAAATAATACAATTTGAAGAAAAACTATCAGTGAAATAAAATCATTATCATCTGATGCGCAGTCTTCATTTCACTGTTCATTTTGTTACTACAAAAAGATTGGGAAATGATTATGAATTTGAAACTGGGCACTAAAATTGAAATTGCTTAAAAATGGAGGGAATGACTGCCATCAACAAGAAAATCATTGATGTGGTTATAGAGCCAGTAATTATGGTGAATTTGACATAATAAAACAATTTAAGAAAGGTTTGCTCAAAATAATTTTTCCTGCCTTCCTTTGGTGTAATAAAACACTTCATTGAGACAAAATTATGGTCAATGGAAAACATGGTCAATGAAGTTACCAAGATCTTAAAGTTATTAAGATTATAACAAAACAGATGAATGGGTAGATATATTTATAATTTAATAATACTATTCTCTTCAATTATAGTGGAATGGTCTTTGAATTCTAGTAGTTCCATTTCTTTAGTTGCATTGTATACATTTCTTTAGTTGCATTGTATCCATAATTATTAGCAACCTGTAAAGTTAAAAGAACAGTTTGATTTGCATCTGCAATGTATTCCAAGAGCACTTTGTAATTCAGGAAGTTAACAACATATTAGTAAAATCCTTATGCCTTTCAGGTTAAACAGCAAGTAATTTCTGTACTGGCAGTCTTCAACTTATGACTACAATTGAGACAAAATTTTAATCACTACATAATGCAATCATAACACATGATATCATATGACCACATTGCATAACAATGGCAATCCCAGCACTCTGGATTGGTCTATTAACTCTAGACATGCAGGTTGTTAACTAGAAAGTGGAAGATATCCCAGGTAAGGAGCATAGGTGAACCAAGATGAGTGCTGGAGGTCCTAGGACATGCAGTGCAACCTGGGTGCAAGTTGCGGGTGTGTGGCATAAGCACATGGAGGTCAGGGAAAGAATACACAGCAGCTCGGGATCTTTTTGGTGTGCCATGCAAGGAGCCCAGGAGTTGCAGTGCCTGTGACCCTATAGGCCTCAATGCTGACAGCTGGCTTGCCAGCCTGGCTGAGGTGCAAAGCTCCTTCACGCTGGGAAGCATCAAAGGCTTGGAAAGCCCCAACACTTTTTCCAAATAATGTGCAGCCTTTTTGTAATTGCATGTGACTGTCTCATGAGGCTTTGTATGTTGCATCCAATTCAAGCACGTGGCCTCTGAAAGACCCAGTGTGATCAATAACTGCATCAACAAACTGCCAGACCAGGTATGCTTGGTCACCAGTTAGAGCAAAAAGGCAGTAAAGATCAGCTAAGACAGAAAGGGCCACAGAGTGCAGAAAGCTAAAAGGGTATTGATGGGGATGGAGGGAATTGAAGTGCCTTTGTGTTCATTAAGTGTGGATAGCTACCAAACAGCCAGACTTTTATCCCATGACCATGA